CTGTTGACTTTCAGAAAATTACACCAGTATTACTGTGAACAGTATGATATAGCCCAGCCCTAGTCAGAGGCACAAGACCACAAAGAGAAACTAAACACAACTCTAAAAAGCCACAAAGAGACTTTAAAAGACTCAAGAGACAGAATATAGCCTCAAAACAACCCCTCAAAAATCTCCAAAAGGCCAAAGAAGACTCAAAATTACCAGAGACATAAACTGAGCACAAAGACAGAAAAATAACTTTGGTGTCTTGTTGCTTAAATCCAGGTAAAAGAAAACCTCAAGGATGGATCAGTCAAAACAACAACAACAAAGCCCTCGACCACATTATATTATAAATCTATTTGATATTAAACTACAGTGTTCGGTGATGCTCATAAAATCCCCAACAATACATTTACCTTTATACTGCGTGTTTGCCCACTGAGCTGACACTCTGAGCTGCACTATGAGACCTGCAGGTTTTAGTGTTAAAGGCCAAGTTTGGGCTGAGTCCCTCTGCTCAGGTTGAACATGTGACGCTGACACTGTGTGTGTGTGTGTGTGACATTCCTCTGTGGGAGACGACCAAGTCCCGTCAACCTCAGTCATGTGATCCCAGCACGCACAGCCATGCAGAGGGAGACTCACACTGCCACAAAAGCTGCATTTATTTAAACGGGTGGCATGTTTACACGTCCTTTTGTGCGGTCAGCTGTCCGAAAGTCAAACATATTAAGTGTGATGAAGTGACAGCAGCCACTACTCTGTTTATATAAAAAGATAATGTAATCCAATTACTACTGTAATCCCATCCACTTCATCTGTAACCGCACCAACAGGTCAGCGTATTGAAATCCTTTCATTAAACCTGATCTGACCTGGATTCACTGCCAGCTTTCTTTTAAGGGACAGGTGATGTTAAGAGGTAATCTCAGACTTACCCAAATATTGATCAGACAAACAGTTAATAGAACTTAATTACATCAGCAGAGGCCGTGCAAACACTGATACTGTGTATCGCTCCCACGTCTGCAAAGTTACTCCACTAATAGCCTCAAATTCTCCCTTTATTCTCCATGTCTGGGTCTTTCAACTCCCTCAGCTTGAGCTGAGGAACAGTAGAGTATTTCCCCAGCCTGCAGCCTGATCATCAAGGAAAAAAGAGCACAAATAAAAAGTCTCCATGCCGTTTTATTCCCAGGGATTTACGCTCTTGTTTTTGTCACAAAGTGAAGTCTTAGTCGGAAGATTTGAGAAGAGCTGCCATCGCCTCCCTTTATTGTGAGAGGATGAGAAAATAATCTTTGTTTTGTGTCGCACAAACAGCTGCGTTCCCAGGAGAGCAAACAAGCCGCAGATAATCAAGAGTTTTCCCTGGATTTTTTTGTTTTTTAAAGCTGTGAATGGAAAAGGATCCAGACACCTTTAGGAGAGACTGCAGATGACCAAACAGATGCAGCCGAGTGCACGAGTGCATCACACAAGGAAATCATCTCTGAGTAACCCCCTCAGCAATGAAATGGTCACTGCAACCCCCCCAAAAAAAATCAAGACACTACATTTCTGGTGTTACTCCATCCAAAAGAAGCCCACGCAGCTCCATATGTGCTGAATCTGAAGCTGCTGGGGCCTGAGAGCTCGGGGTCAGCACAAGCATGCAAACAGGCACACATGAAACCAAAAGGTCATCATCCCGCAGGAGAGTTCAGACAGGCTGCACACGTTCAAGTCCACAAGCAGTAAAAGTAATAAAAGCCCTGAGGAAAGCTGAAAGTTATTAAACAAGGGTAGACGCATGCGCGTGGGCACTGGATAAACTAATGGTGAGCTCGGCTATTGTGGATATAAGCTCAAATTAAGCGCATGTGACACAACCAGTGGACAGTTAACTAACTTCCCCCATACACAGAGGCACTGCTGACACAAACACGAGCTGTGCTCTTATTTAACATGTAATGTATCTCTGTGGCTGCTGTGGACTTTATCCTAATGCCTTCAGATGCCTTTACAAGCGTTTAGCCATATTTCGGTCTATGAAGTTAGCAAGCTAACTCAAGAGTGTGTTAAAATGACAGCAGTGTAAACCAGCATCCATTATCGGACGTAGTTGACCCC